TTGTTTCCTCCACCTTCTCTGGGTAATAAAATATCTGAAATAATACAGATCAAGACTTTTTTTTTTTTTTTTTTCAAAAACAAAACAAAACAAAAAACAAAAACGGGTTCACTTCTAGCATGAAGCACCGGCACCAGTTCCAGGACACCAGGGTCCCTGCTCTTTCGCGTCCAGCGTCCACTTCAACAGCTTCTTCCCGACCTGGACACCCTCAGGGCGGCTTCGGGGGTGACAAGCCCGGGGCTGATGCCCTGGGGCCTCGCGTCCTGAGCCCACCCAGCAAACCCTAAGCCCAGCCCCGCGCGGCGCCCCCGACCGGGTCCCCGGCTGGAAAGGCCGCGGCCTGACCCCGGCCCGCGGGCGATAAGGCCGCGCCTTTGTTCCTGCCCCCAGCTGGGTAAACCGCGCCCCGCCTCGCTGGCCGCCTCGGGGGCACCTTTGTCCGGCCCGGGGCGGGCATTGTCCGCGCGGTGTGTACACGGGGAGGGGCGCCAGGTGCGCGGGCGGAATGCGGGGTCGGCACGGGGCCGGGGGGCGGGCCCGGAGCTGGGGGGTCCCCAGGAATCCTCGGCAGGGCCGCCTGCTCCCGAGGGTCCCCTGCGGCCGCGGGTGGGGGAGCCCGGGGGGCGGAGCGGGGGGCGCGGGCCGGGAGACCCCTGCGCGGGACAGACCCGCGGCTGCCGCGCGTTCCCGTCGCGTCCAGCTTGAAACACACCTGGCGCGTCGTAAAGTGATTTACGAAGTGAAAGTGTGAAACCAGGCCACCAGCTGGAGGCCCGGCCGGCTTTAGGAGTTTTATTAGGTGCCCTATTATGGAAAATAAACTTTAATCCCACCATAAAAACCAAATCTGAAAAACATATTTGCCCTTGCTGTCCGGAACGCCGCGGCATTCCTGGTGGAGGTCACACCTCCGACGGGATTAGTTTTATGGAGGGAGACGGAGCTCCGCGGGACTTTGACGCGGGGGGTTGGGGGCTGCCCCGCGCGGATCCCAGCTTCTCTCCGCGCCGCACTCCCCGCCCCGGGACGGTCCCGCCTGGCAGCCCCCTGCAAGCCTGGGACGCGGTCAGCGCTGCCGCGCACCGGGGGCGGGTTTGGGGGAGGCCCCAGGTCAGTTCACCCAGAAACCCGAGAGGAGCTGAGAAACCAGCCCGGACGCCCCTCCCGAGCAGCTTCGCGAGGAGGGGCTGGGGTCAGGGGAGGAGGGGGAGAACCGCAGATGAGAAGAGGAAAAGGAAAAAAAACAACACAATTATTTTTAGAATCATTGTAACCAATCACGTGTCAGTACCCGAGGGTTCACTATGTGTATTATGCTAGAACTTTCTCATCTTCCCAAACTGAAACTCCGTTCCCAAGAAACACCGACTCCCCAGTACCCGCTCCAAGCCCTAGCAGCAGCCATTCTGTTTTCTAAGAGCTTGGCTCATCTAAACTGGTATTGCAGACGATCTGGCAGTATTTGCCTTTTTGGTTTATTTGCCTGCTTATTTATTACTATTATTCTGTAGCTAGGGTCTCACACTGTGGCCCAGGCTGGAGTGCCGTGGTGCCATCGCATCCTGGAACCCCGGGCTCAAGCCATCCTTCCGCAGTAGCTGGGACTGCAGGAGGGCAGCCCCAAGGAGGGTCAGTATTTGTCTTTTGTGATTGGGTATCTCACCCAGCATAGAGTCCTCAGAGTTCATGGTTGTTGTAGAATGTGACAGGATTTCCTTCCTTTTAAAGCCTGACTAGCACTCCACGGTCTGTGTGCGCCACATTTTCCTCATCCATGTCTCTGCTGATGGACGTAGGCTGCGCCCACCTCTTGGCGATTGTGAATAGTGCTGCAATGAACTCAGGTGTGCAGATGTCTGAGATCTTTCTTTCTTTCTTTTTTTTTTTTTTGTTTCCAATTCTTTTGGATATATACCCAGAACTGAGACCGCCGGATCAGATGATTTGATTTTTAATTTTTTGAGGAAACTTTTTGAGGAATTTTTGAGGAAATTCTGTTATTTGACACAATGGCCACACCCTGTTACATTCCCACAACAGCTCCAATTGCCCACACCCTTGTTTGTTTTACATTGGCCATCTTAACACGTGCGGGGTGACATCTGTGGCTTTGATTTGCATTTCCCTGAGGCTAGCGGCGTTGAGATCTTTTCATATGCTTGTTGCCATTTCAAAATCTTATTTGGAGTCAAGTCATTTGCCCATGTAGTTCGGTTTTGTTGAGAGTGCTGAGAATGACCTACTCTGGATATTAACCCATTACCAGATTCGTTTTGCAGATGGCATCTGCCATTCCCAGGCTGCTTTTGACTCTGGTTGATTGTCCTTTGTGGCGCGGACGTTTTCAGTTTGACGTGGTCCCGTTTGTCTATTTTTGCTTTGGCTGCCTTGCGTTCGGAGTCCGAGAAGGAAAGTCACCGGATGGGGGCAGGGACAGGTCCACCTCCTCTCCCTTCGAGCTGTGTCTTTACTCCTTGACACCAGGCCTTAGCCGGGGTCTCCAGGCTGCCTCTCGCCCGGCAGCCTGAGCCCCAGGAGGGGCTGGAAAGGAGCCGCCCGCCGCCCTCTGGCGGGCGCGTGTCGACTGTTTTCTCCTGGCACTTGAAGCCTTCATCCACGCGCTTTTGCACCCCCAGCAGAACTCGCCCACGGCAAGGCGCCTTTTTCTAAGAACGGAAGAGAACCCACACTGGCGCAAAGAAAACGGTGGGCGAGAGGTGGGGCCTCGGTGGGACAGGGAGGCCAGGCTGCGGTTCCAAAGGCCAGCGTCAGCTGTGGGTGGGGGCGCTCCCCGGGGACCCAGCGCCCTGGGTCGCAGAGACGGCCGCCGCCGGGGTCTCCCCCGCCTACCTTCGCTTCCGTTGCAGGCGGTGAACTCCGTAGGCCTCCGGGGCAGCCAGAGGACATCAGAAAAGTCCCGCCGCGGAGGCCTGGGCCTGTCTGAAAACACCAAACATCGCCTCGGCTCCTCTGGGCTCCCCCTGCGGAGACCTTGCCCCAGGTCCTGAGAACCCGATTCCTGGGGGGCGCAAAGACTTTCTCCCCCATGCGCGGGGTCAGCTGGCGGCTCGGGTGCGGTTGGAGGGCGGGGCCCCCAGGGGCCCCCCGCTACAGGCCGAGCCGAATCAGCGACCCGGAGCGCGGCGTCTAGGGGTGAGGGGCGCGCCCGCGAGACGGGCAGAGCCGGGCCTCACGACCGTTCATTAGGCAGAATGAATTGTGCACCGTGCCCGGAGTGGATGAGGACGAGCCAGTGATTATATTTAAATTTGCTATAATTGATTTGGGGAAGAGCTACTGTGACAAGAACGAATTGATCATTAAATTTATTAACGAGATAAATTCCGCCGCGATTGAGCGGCCTGCAGGCGCAGGGGCCGGCGCAGGTCCCGGGCCTGGCTCTGCAGGAGGACGGGGGAGGGGCGGCCCTATTAACAGCATCTTCCTTCAGTGTCGCTTTTCCCGGCGTCCCAGAGGAAGCGCCTGCACCCTGAGGGTAGAGGGACAGACCCTCCGCGGAGGCCTGCGGCGCCCCAGCTCCGGGCGTGAGACCCCTTTCCAGGCCGAGCCCCCCCTTCTCTGTCTGCCCACTGCGGCTGGGGGCGCTGAGGCTGGGCCAGCTGAGCCCAAGGGGAACATAATCTCCAGATGTGAAGCCAGCCTGGGAGAGATTGCTGCAGGCTGAACCTCACCAATGTGTTAGAAATTAAAAAGAAATGTACAGATTGCAGATATTAAAAAAAAAAAAAATCTGTCTTCCCCTTGCCCCCCTCTCCTCTGGTTTTCCCACTTTCTCTGGGCACTCTTCCTCCTCCACCAGTAGCAAACCCTCTCCCAGTTCCCTCAAAGCACCTTTGGACCGCAGGCGGCGGAGCCCGGCCCCTGCGCCAGCGCTCAGCAGCTGCTTCTGCCTGGACTCCCAGCAGCCGCGCCCCGGCCTTGGTTGTGGTTGATTTTATGGAAGGGGCCCGGGGTGATAATGAGTTGCCAGAGAGGATATTAATCTCCCCGCGCCCTGAGGCAGAGGAGTGGCCGCGCTTGCCCCGCGGTAATCACCCAAATGAAACACCAGGCCCTTCTGAACTCATTTTATCAGCTGGGAGGGGGGAGGGAAGGAGGGAGGAGAAGGGCACTCGCAGGTGCTGCTGAGAAAGTGACAAACAGAAGGAAGGAGGAAGGCCCGGGAGAAGGGAGAGGAGCAGCGTCCACGGTCGCCCCTCTCTTCCAGGCCTGGAGAGGCCACTGGGTCAGCGATGGGGGAAGGGGGACAGGGGGCGCGCCGGGCTGGATGGCCGCTGGCCTGCGCTCCCGGGCAGGCGAGAGCGCGGGCTGAGCCCGCATGTGCGCAGCACATGGCGCTGGCGCTGGCCGCAGTGATTGATAGCGCGCGCTGCAGAGGCTGATTAACCCAGAGCCGCAGCAGCAGCGGTGCGGAGCGCTCCTGCATCCCGCTGCTGTCTTCGCGGTTTGCACAGGGCCAAGAAGCCCGAGCCTGGCCAGCCAAGGAAGGTTCTGCCAACAGAGAGAGCCGGGGTCTAGGAAGACAGAAGCACTGCGCAATTCGGTGCGTTCCGGGAAATGTGCCTGAGCAGCGCCTGAGGTCTCACGGACCCCACATGCTACTAACGCCTAATTGTTTGAAGCTTATTTTCTGAAACGCCCAAATAGCGTATTTCCACTTCTGGAGCGCCATCGAAACAAAAGCCCGTGAGGAAATAGGAAAATAAATAAGAGTCCCCAGCTCCGCTTCTGAAGGGCACGTGCGCCGGGACAGGCGTGGGTCAGGCAGCCAGGCACGCGCTGACACCTGGCCACAGGTATTTTGCCAACACTTCACACTGCGACTCCCCAGCAGAAGGCGCGGAGGTGGTCCTGACACCCACTTGAGACTCCGATTTTCACCCTTAGCTGACAACCGCAGAGTAGACACTCTCCCCATCATTTCTACGAACAAACGGTAAAGCCGCAGGCATAAACCCCAGAATGCGTGCACACTGATCCAGTACAAAAGCAATTTATTTTACATTTCATCGTGAGCGATAGGAGAAGCTAAATCATAATTTAGCATGCATATGTAGATGTTTCTTTTTATATATAAATACAATATATAAAAATAAAGACAGTACAGTTTTGAGATTTTCAGCAGTTTGAACGCTTGTGACATAATCACCAGGACCCCAGAGACGTTAAGCATAAACCCTTTTTCTTTTCCCAGTATCTGCGGAACGGCGGCTCCAGAGGCGGTTTCAAGTTTCAGAAGTCAGGTAACACTGTGGGTTTCCGCCTTCTTGCACGCGGGAAGAGGGGAGGCGGGAGGTTCCCCTTGGGTGGTGGTGGTGGTGGGGGGGGGGGGTCGGTTCTTCTCACAGGCACCTCGCACCTCCCCCATCACCAACCAAAATTAAAAGAACCAGAGTTCAAGTTTCAGCCCCCGGGCCTCCCTCTCGCTGTTTCTTAAAGAGAAGGCGAGGCGCCCTGGCTTAAAAGGGAAGCGCCCAGGACTGGAGGCCGAGGCCAATCCCTCCAGCCCGGCCTGGGCTAGGGGGTCACCAGGCGGCGGCCGAGCCGGGCCGAGCAGGTGCGGGCGCCGGGGCCTCCGGGGAGAAGCTGCCGGCCTGGGTGCTCCGAGCGCGCCGCAGCTGCTGGGCCGCCGGCCTCCTACTGGGGCGCGGGCTGGTGGCTGGACCGCGGGGGCGGCGAGTCGTCCTCGGAGGAGCAGTCGGAGGAGGCGGCGTGGGCGCTGGCGCCGTTGCTGTAGGGGAAATGGTCCTCGTCGTCCTCGTCCTCGTCCTCCTCGGGGTCACTGTCCCTCAAGTCCCGCAGGCGGCGTCCGCTGCCCTTGTCCCCGGGCGCGGGCGGCCCCAGCAGCTCCTCGGCGCCCGGCTCCTCCGCGCCGCCCTTCCCCGCGCCCCCGCCGCCGCCCTTCTGTTTCTCCGCTTCCTGCGCCGCCTGCTCTTTGGCCTTTTTGCTGCGTTTCCATTTCATCCGCCGGTTCTGGAACCAGATCTTCACCTGTGGGCACAAGCGGGCGTGAGAAACCGGCCACCGCCAGTCAAGCCTTCCTGTCTGGAGACCCCCGCCGCGAGCGGGTCGGCCCTGGAATGGCCTCTGGGTAAGGCGACTTAGAAGCGGAATGGGGAAGGGGCGCGTGGCTTCCTCCTCCCCCTACCACCTCCCACTCGGCAGCAAACCGCAGAGCTGGGCTGGGGCTCCGAGGGAGCTAGGACTGTGTCCCTAGCGCCCCAGGCCAGGGACTTTTCTCCCCGTACCCTCCCTCTACCGAAGAAGGGTCAGGGCAGGGGGCCACGCCGTGGTAAAACTCAGGATGTTTCCTCCTCTCTTTCTAGAACAAGGGGATCATCTTCTTCAGAAAAAAGGAGGAGTCCTGAAGTGCCGATTTTTTGGGCCCCCCCCCCCCGAAGCTACTGAATCGGCGCTCTGGGCTCCTTAGATGAACCCGTGCGCCTGCTTGCCATCTGAACGGTCGGGGCGCAGCGCCAGATGCCCAAGACCGCCCGTGGGTCACGAGCGCACAGGTGACAGTGTCCCCTGGGAGGCCTGGATGCGTTGGGGCGGGGCGGGCGCGCACCTGGGTCTCCGTGAGCATGAGCGAGGTGGCCACCTCGAAGCGCTTGGGCCTAGACAGGTACTTGTTGAGCTTGAACTGGTGCTCCAGCTCCAGCAGCTGCTGGCTGGTGAAGGCGGTGCGCGGTCGGCGGCACTTCCCCAGGAGATTCGACTGCGCCTGGGCTGGGGACCAAAGGGCAGTGAGGCCCACAGCCGGCCCGGTCCTCGCCCCCGACCCCTGCTGCCACTACCACAAGGCCCCATCGTGGAAGGCTCCCGGCACGGCAGAGGGTGAGGCTGTCCCCCCTCATCGGCGCCCCCTCTCCAAGGAATGGGGACTCCGGACCCAGACGACCAAGTGCAAATGGGTGGTTTGGGCTTAATGGGACCAATTTTTTTTTTTTTTTCTGCTCTGGGAGACGTTTGAGTGTCCCTGTTGAGCAGGGTCCATCGCTGGATGCACCTCTCCACAGGAGCCGGGATTGGTACGAGAGGATTGACCCAGAGGCAAGAGGAGAAGTGAGGTCAGTTGGGGGCCAAGATGGAGGTTCCAGGAAGCCCAAGAGTTCGAGGCTGCAGCGAGCTAGGACTGCACCACTGTGCTGTACCCTGAGCAAAACGGCAAGACCCCATCTCTCAATAAATAAAAATAATAAGAACAACAAAATAAAGGAGCAGGGAGTGTTAGAACCAAGTCTCTCCCCTTGTCCTCACCGCACCTTCCTAGAGGTTCAGGCTCAGATCCAGGCAGGTCTGGGAAGAGCCGCTGCTGCTGTGGCAGGCCTGCCTCCTCTGCCTCCTTAAGACAGAAAAGGAAGGGGAAGGAAGGGAGGGAAGGAGGGAGGGAGGAAGGAGGGAAGGAAGAAAGGAAAGAGGGAGAGAGGGAAGGGAAGGAGGGAGGGCGCCCCAGCACCAAGCCCGGGTCCACGTCTGCGTATTCATCAGGGAGCCTCCCACCTTTCAAACCTTTTTCTTGACAAACCCCCTCCTGGGGCAGGCGGTGGGGGCGAGGGGGGAGGGGAGACTGGAAGCCTTTGCAGAACAATTCTCATTACGCAAATTACAGGCCGAGGCGCAGGCAGGATCCGGTTCTCTGTGTGTTCGAGGAGGCCTGCCCGGCTTTATTTACATAATTTCGCACGGTTACATCACAGAGAATTTTATGACCTCAAAACGAGACTTCCCTTGATTTCCCAGGAGCCTGACAAGTGCTAGACAATAAAAGAAAGAAAGAAAAGGAAAGAAAGGAGGCCAGCCGGGGCCGGGAGGAGCGCAGGTCCCCCGGGATGGGCAATTGGCTTTAGAGGATGGCCCACGCCCCCTGCTTTAGTCAAACAAGGCTCCAAATTCCCAACTTGACAATACATTAGAACTTTAATTAAAACACTGGCTCCAGAGGGACCATTTGGGAAATACCATCCAACGGGCAGAGACAACCAATTAAAGAAACCAAACAGGTTTCCCCGTGACCCGCGAGGAGGGCTTCTCAGAACACATGCCGCTGCCCTTGGCGAGGCTCTGCCTGCCCTTCTGGATTGCCGGGGCACATTCCTCTCCTGAACTTAAAGCCAGCTGTGTTTGAAATTGGGCCAACTCTATGTCAACATTCGAAATCAGAAATGGCAAGGTGTGTTGGGAAAGGTGTCTCACTTTAATAAATTATTTGCGTGACCTTGGGCTACAAGCTCCAGAAAGCGCAACGGGGGCTGGCCAGGGAGCCCAGGGCCCTAGAAGGCCTAGGACCACCGCCTCCTGCGCTGGCCAGCCCACTCAGTGGGCAACTTCCCGTCCCGGGCTCTAGGAAATGCAGGTTACAGTGGCGGCCTTCTATCAGAAGGGCTGGGCCCTGGGTCGGCAGCCAGGCCTTGGAGGGTGCTCTGAGTTTTAAGCCCAGGGTAGCAGGAGATCCCAGTCACAGTGGTGTCTGAGGTGAGAGGCAGCTTTCCCTCTTCCAGCCAGAGTCAGTGGGGCTGACTCTCCCAGGAAGGGATGGGTGGCAGTGGGGCCTTCTTGGGGCTGAGCTGGGAAAGCCTGGGGCAGCTGCAGGGATTTTCTCACCCCCTTGCGACTTCTCCAGCCTTGGGGTCCTAGATTTTCTCTGTTTAGTCACAATCACGGCTTCCAGCAAAGGAATCTGAATTCTGGAGTGTTTATTTCTGTTTTCTTTTTTGCTTTTCCCCTGCTCTGCCTGCATCTCCCCAGTCTAAACAAACCCACTCAGACAGAAACAATGGGGTCTCTTTGTTTGGGTGTTGGGCGGCTGAAAGCGTGGAGAGGTATCCATCTTCTGCTCCAGCCCGACTCAAAAGTAGCTGACCCCGATGGGGCGAGCGGGGAGAGCCAGAGCCCCCGAGCCCCAGCCCGGAGAGTCCGCGTGTGCCAGGAAAGCCTGAGGGTCCCAGGCCTCTCTCGAGGTGTCCCGCCTGGATGGAGAGGAAGCTGCCTGAAGCCCAGCGGCTCTGGGGGGAACCGGGGCTCCCTCAGCCCTGCTTTGGAGAGGCTGGGCGCCCGGGATTCCAGGCCAAGCATCCACTGTGTAGGGTCCCCGTATCTCTGGTTCAAGCCAGGCCATCTGCTTCGGCCATGCACCCCCGGTCCAACGCCCTTCCAGAGGAGGGCAGTGCCCTGGTAAGGGCCGGGGGGTTCCCTGGGCCCTGGCCTTGCCGCCCCGGGTCTCCGAAGCCCATTTCTCTTGTGTGCTGCTCCTGAAGCACTCTCACTCCCAGGAGGGGCCGCGGGTCACTAGCGCCCAGAATGGGGGACCCGGCCCAAGTTCCTTTCCCCGGTGATAAGCCCTGACTCCCATTCCCAGGCCTGCCTAATTCGGGGCGCTCTCCGGCTCGCCTTCCCCGCGACTTCCTTCTCCTGCAGCCTGCAGGTTAATCATTAGATCTCAGTCTCACACCTCCAAATGCCCCTTCCCGTTAAGAGAGGAAGAGAAGGCAAGGCCTGCGCAGAGCCATTTTAACAATTCGCTGCCCGTCTCACGCCTGGGGGTCTGGGCGAGTCCTCGCAGAGCCCAGGCGGCTTCGCAGCGCTTCCTCGGCTCGCTGGGAGCCGAGCAGAGAAGGGCAGGCGGTGCCGGGCGGAGGATGTGCGAGGCCCTCCCGCCACAGGCCCGGGGGCCGCAGGGTACTCACAGTTGAAGTCGGGCATCTTGGGCAGGATCATGCCCGCGGTGGACGCGCGCAGCCACTGGTCCAGCTGGAAGGTGCCGGCGCCCAGCTTGATTGGGTCTGCGGGGTGCGCCGGGTGCCCGCCCTGCACCTGCGGGTACGGGTAGGAGAGCGCCGGGTGCTGGCCCGCCAGCGCAGCCGCCGCCGCCGCCGCGGAGTAGCCGTAGACCGGGTGGCCGTAGAGCGCCGCCTGCGCCGGGAGGCCCGCGCCGCCCTGCGCGCCCCCCGGGTGCAGCCCCAGCGCCAGGCCCCCTGCGGCGGCGGCGGCGGCGGCGGCGGCAGCGGCGGCGGCTGCGGCCGCTGCGCCCGGGTGCGCGTGGTGGTGGGGCCCCCCGTGCCCGCCGCCAGTGCCGCCGCCGCCGCCCGCGCCCAGGAAGCCGGGTTTGGGTAGCAGCGCGCAGTGCGCGGCCAGCAGGCGCGGTGGCGACGGGCTTTCGGCGCGCAGGCGGTCGGCGGGCGCCGCGGGCGGCTCCGAGGACGCGGGGCTGCAGCTGCCGCTCGTGCCGCCGCTTGCCCCGCCACCGCCGCCACCTCCGGTGCCAGATGCGGCGGCGGCGGCGGCGAGCGACGTGACCAAGGCCAGCGGCGCGCTCTGCGCAGAGGCGGCTCGCGGGGGGTCCACCGCCAGCAGGGCGTCGATGCGGAAATTTTTGGATTTTTCCATCGGCTCGTTTGGGGCTGGCGCTCGGGGCCCGGTGGTGGGCGACGCGGCGGTGTGCAGGCTCGCGGAGTCAGTGCGCGCGGTGCAAGCCCGCGGGTTCGGTGGTGTTGTGGTGGTTGTTTGCCAATAATCAAAGTCGCCGCCGGAAACTCAGCCGAGGGTGACCATGGTCCGGGCGCCTCCTCCGTGCGGGCCCCGCCCCGGGCCGCGCTCGCACAAACTCCCACGCGAGTGCGTCCCCGCGCCCGGGCCGGGAAGCCCGGCTCTCTGCGCTCCAGCCCTCAGGCGACCGCGCCGAGGCCGCTGGCGCCGAGCTGGGGACCCGCGCCCCTCCGCGCACTTGAAGCTGAGCGCGGCCTCGGATTGGCGCGCGCGGAGGGGGCCCGGGGAGGGCAGCCGGCTCCGCCATTGGCCGAGGGGCGCACCTGTCACCGTCCCGGCCTCCCGCCGCCCCGCCCCCGCGCCGCGGGGTCCTAAGCAGCCCAGGGTGTCGAGCAGCGCCAGCGGGCTGGGACACCGCTGGGGGGTGGATGCTCCAAGGTGCAACCTGGGGCCTCTGCCCGCCCTCCCGTGGGTGCGGAGCCGGGCGGCGGGCACTGGCAACCCTCGGACCCCTGAAGAACCCCCCGGCGGCCCGGGACCGGCTCCCGAGACTCCTTGCCCCCTCCGGGCTTGGTCCCTGGAGCCAGCTGTGCGCGTCCTCTCCGGCCTCCTCGCCGGGGCCCTTGCATTGGTTCACCTCTGCCTCGCGGAGCGCGGTGGTTCCACGCGCCGGAGCGCCCAGGCTGCGCGCAGATCTGGCCGCTCTGCGAGGTGACGGCAGCGCACTGAAGACCTTTGGGTTTCCCAAGCCCTTCCATCTCCCGGTCTCCAGGGCGCAGCAGGGGAGGGTTGTGTCCCTGTGGCCAAAGCTGTGCAGGTCGAACCTTATCTGCTCTGGGGATGCCCCACATTTCAGGTGTGTGTGCGGGGGCGTGGGGGTGTAAACGCGCATGTGAGTGTGAGTTTGGCCTCCACGGATCCTCTCTGGGAGCCCCTGCCCCAGCCAGTCAAGGCGGAGACGGCAGATCTGGGCGCCCAGGCCTGCAGGAACCCAAGTCGGCTTGCGGATGTCGCCCACGTGCCTGCTCCGTGGAGCGGATCCTCGGTGACAAAGCTCTTCCTGGCTGCGGAGGGATGCCCATGGGCTGGCGGGAGCCAAGGCCCACACGCCTCGGCCCTGAAAAACCCAGAGGGCCCGGCGTCCTCCGGGAGCCCTGCAGCCGCGACCCCCGCCAGCCCCCCTGTAGGAGGTGGGAGATGCGGTCTCTCCTGCGCTGCCTCTGCCGGGGCCTCCTGGGAAGTGGAGAGGAAAGCGCTTCCCGCGAGCGAGGCCAGGAGTGAGTCTCCAGAGCTCACCCCCTCCCCCACACGCACACTTCAAATATTTACAGTAAAAGCACTTCCAAGGGCGTTTTTGAAGCTGAAAGAATCAACACAGGGGTCGGGAAGTCAAGCGGCATCAACACCAGGCTTTGTCAATAGCGCCCTTAGACCCAGTTATCTTCCCCAGCCAGCGTGAGAACCCGGAGGGAGCTCCAGGTTCCAGAAACCAAGGCTTCCCATGCAGGTGAGAGGTGAATAAAGGGCCGGACGGGGCTGTGAGGAGGGTAGAGGGCCAAAGAGAAAATCAGTGCCAGGTAAACGGATTTTAAAATTAGCAGGCCAGGTTGCTACAAGAGGGATTTTTAAAAAGGAAGACATAGAGACCCTGCTTTTTTTTTTTTTTTTTAACCTGGGTGAGAGTTGGTGACAGTGACTTTGTTGGCATCAGTGGTATATTTTTCATTATGACACAGGGTCGTTCCCAGACGCTCAGGACTAGTTGGAAGCTTAGGCGGATAGCAATGGGTGAGTAACAGCAACTTGGAGTCAATGTGGTCTGGCTTTGCAGAGAACCACTGGTAAAAAGAAATCTCAGGCATTCACCTGGAGTTTGTCGTGCCTTTAGATGTCTCTCTGGGATGATAACATGCTGTTCTGCCTCTCTGCGGAGAGAGGAAAATACTTTCATTTCTTGAACACGTACTATGTGCCATAAGCTTTCTAGAATTCTCCTCCTTAATCTTCACTATGACACTGGAAGGAAGATTTTTTTTTTTTTTTTTTTAAGACAGAGTTTAGCTCTTGTTGCACAGGCTGGAGTCCAATGCCATGATCTTGGCTCACTGCAACCTGCATCTCCCAGGTTCAAGCGATTCTCCTGCCTCAGCTTCCCTAGTGGCTAAGACTACAGGCACTTGGCACCAAGCCCGGCTAATTTTTGTATTTTTTAGTAGAGACGGGGTTTCACCATGTTGGTCAGGCTAGTCTCAAATTTCTGACGTCAGGTGATCCACCCGCCTCAGCCTCCCAAAGTGCTGGGATTACAGGCGTGAGCCACCGCACCTGGCCTGTCATCTCCATTTTCTAGAGTACAGGTTCAGAGAGTTTGAGATTCTTGTTCCCAGCAGACGGTTTGGCCTTAGAGCTGGGAGTGGGACCAGGTATGACAGCAGGGACCACACTGTTCCCACCCTGCTGCCCTGGGTCCCCGTCCTCTCTGTTTTGGGGAGGAAAGGCTTATGAAGGAGACCAGAGATTCTTAGCCACCTGCTCCAGGCAGGAAGACCTGTCTGTGACCCTGCCTCCCCCGGGGTAGAGAGCACAGCCTTGGCCTCCTCCTCCTCCTCCTCCTCCAGGGGTTTGGTTCGAAGGCCGACATGCCTTTCTCATCTCATCACCGTCGTCTGCTGGCGGCAGGTTGCTTGGTCCTGAGGTCAGTGACTGAGGAATGGAGGGAAGAGAGTGCGGCAGGGGAACCTCCCGGGATGGACCTTGAGCAGCTACTGTTTCTCTCTCCAGCCAAAAACACCCACTGCCAGGGTAATTTCAGTTGTTGATGGGGTGAGCAGTCTAGACTCTTCTTCGTCAGCAAGATCACGGGGAGGGTTTGGTGGCTTTTTTTGGGGTAACTCCCAGAGGGATTCATCTCACCCCCTTGTGTTCTGCAGTAACCGTGCTCCAAAACCGCATCACAGCCTGCCTCAGGTTTCTGCTCTGCCTGAGACCTGCTGAGGGCACCTCCCTGGAAGCACAGACAGGACGTGTGTGCGGGTCGTTCAGGTGTCTGTGCCAGGAGGCCTAGCATAGCAGCTCTGCGCCCTGCTGGGGCCGCCCGTCTAGCTGCGGTGCCATTGCAGGAGTCTGAAGCTGCATGTCTTGGTGGATTTGTTTATTTGTCTACAGAGCAGGGGTTGGACCCAATGGACTCTAAGGTGCTACAGGACTTTAAAATGATCAGATGTTCTGTTTATACTTAAGAACACGTTAACAGAAAATGCAGGTTCTCTGTAGAGTTGCCTGGAGAGGGGCAGGTGTGGGGGAGAGGGAGCGAGCTGGGAAGTGTGGGTCTTTGTGTGGTTTACAATGTGTGAGGCGGAGCCTGCTGGGTCTCTTCCTGTTCCCAGTATCTGTATTGATCCAGGCCAGCTGGCTTTGGGGCAGACTGGATCTGGGCTTGGGTCTCAGGAAGGGAGACAAAGAGGGATCAAAGGTCTGATCCTAGTAGTGCTCCCAAACCTGTCTCCAGGTGAGTTTTCCCTCCAGCGGTCCCACAGGCAGAACTCAGCTCGGAGAGTTCTCCCTAGAACTCCTGGTTTCTCAAGACAGGCAAAGAAGGCCCGTGCACCCTGATCAGCTGGCTCCCACCACAGCTCCTCCCTGCGCACCCAGGCGCCTGCTTCCTACAGATCATGTGCTGAGGAATGAGGACTGCCTGCAATTCCCCTTCTTTCCCCTACTTGGGAAGGAGATGGTGATTTCTACAAACCGTCACCAGAGAAAACGCGGTTGTAGTCTGTGTCTGTTTGTATCTGGACTTACGAAACTGGGAACCTGTGAGGATTGGGGGAAAACGTATACATTCACATATTCACAAGAAGCGAGGCAGGCATTGTTCATTTATTTGTCATTTAGATATGCTTTTTTTCCACGCGAAATGGAGCAGGTGCTCAGAAGGGCACTGGGTGGCTGAGGCGAGGGCAGATCCTGCGTTTCCAAAGCTGAAGCCCAGGAACAGCAGGCCGCAGAGGGGCCCAGGTAAGTGAGCAGCCCATCCTGCTGAAACCACATGCTCTCCAGGGATTGACTCAGTTCCGTTTCAGTGTGAACTTTCAAGGCTTTCTTCAGGAAATAGGCATGAAGATGCCTTGTAACTGGCCAGAGGTCAGGACCTAAGCATGTGTCTGAGATGGGACTTGCCCTGGCACAGGAAGTAGCTGAGTTGGGCTGCGCTGGGAGCCGGACGGCCAGTGCAGGAACTGGTGGGAGATGCTCTGACCTCTTTCCTGGAGCTCGGAGGGAAGGAGGATCTGCACAGAGGGCCCAGGGTCCCTGGAACTGGGGGCATCTGCTCAGGTCTCGCCACCCACCCCAGCCCCCTTGGAGCCACGGGCATCAAGTCATTAGTGCTGTCCTTTGATCTGCTGACCTACACTCTGATCCCTGGGACCTGGGCCTTAAAAGAGTCCAAAGACTCACAGCTCACACCCTCAAACCGAGGCGGGGCCGGGGCTGGCCGGGGTCTGCTGTGTGCCCCGCTCCCTGGGTCTTCTCCCTCTGCCCCTCCTCCTTAGCTTCTCCCTGCAACCTGGATTTCCTGTTCCCGTTTGTAGGGGGCACCTTCACCCTGACTCTCCCCAGGTGGCCAGCACCACCCAGGCTGCAGTGGGAATTCGAGCCCCCTAGAACACCCCCAAGTCACTGGCTTGGCCCTCTTCTCTGGGCCCAGCCCCTGCTGCAAACAACCAGCCCTACCAGGGGTCTTGGTGGGAGAAATTAAGGAGATGCCGCAGGATTTACATTAGTCAAATGCAGTGACCCAGGGGCCTTCTATTTTTGGAAATTTCCTCCAGAGACAAAAATCTCTGCTTCCGTTCAGACCTGGGGCAGCTTCCCAACCTCCCCAGACCCTGGAGGGAAGGGACAGGCCTGGCCACCGCGGTTCAGCCGCTGGCCCAGGTCTCTTTCTGACATAAGGAGGTGAAATCCCCTCCATCCTCTTCAGAGCTTCCCGTGTCATAAAGAGAAAGAAACCCTGGGAGGAAAGGGGGGCTCCTCGGAGCCCCGTTCACTGTGGTGGGGGAATGACGGCCCTCCACAGCCATGAAAGCCTTCTCTGGAGTTTTTTTTTCTTTGCTACAAACATTTTATTTCGTTTTATTTTATTCCAGATTCACACAGGGCCCTCTGCAGACTGTTGGCAGAAACAAGGTAGCCACCGAACACATGCCCAAGCCGGACGTTTTCCAGAACGCCGCAGAACCACCCTCCAGAGAGACACCAGCGTGCGGTCCACAGTGCTACGTGAGTCCCGCAAAGAGGAGACCTTCCCGGTGAGGCTGAGAGCGCTGCCTGCACGCTTTACCTGGCCCAGCCTCCAGCCTCCATGGAAAATGTGCTTCCGAATGAGCACTCTTCCAAAGGCTCCATACTGCTCTCCGGTGGCACTGGCCCGGGCACCCGGTGAGAACCCAACTGTCCCCCCACCGCCCACAGAGGAAGGAGGGGAGGGTTACTCTGACACCAGGAACAACACACAACTCAATACGAGTCACAGAAGGTGGCGTCCATCATGCCTGGACGGTGACTGCTGCCTTGCAGCCTGCTGGGGGTAGAGGTGGAACCCACAGGGCAGAAGCAAACATACACACAGATGTGGCTCACGACACTGGAATGCTTCAGTGCGTGAATCGTTTAGTGCATTCTGACTGGAAATTATGGCTGAATATCGGTGCACTAATGTCCAAGCCCATGTTCCATAATGGCAGGAAGTCTGTGCTAATTGGTCTATTTAGTAGTTGCTGAGGTGGCAAAAGCTGCAGCTGCTGGCGGCTGACGGAGACAGAGAGAGAGAGAGAGAGAGAGAGAGAGAGAGAGAGAGAGGAGAGAGAGAGAGGAGAGAGAGAGAGAGAGAGAGAGAGAGAGACCTCCCCTTACCCTTATTCCACTTCCCAGAGCTGTGCCAGTGTAGGGGGGCATTCCTCAGGATGGGCAGTGGTGTCTGTGGTCAAATTCACCTCTGGCAACCCTGCCCAAGCCTCTTCTCACAGGTGCACACATTCAAGGCCTGACGAGGCCCCCAGCGGTGTTCCTGTGGGCCCTGGCTGGGATCTCCCGGGAGGGGCTCCATAGGGCAGTGGGACTGGGCCAGGTTGCCTGCATTCTCCCCGCCCCTCGCCTGCTCCGAGGGCAGCTTTTCTCCCCACCCGCATTCCTCTCCCCTTTGCTTTCTAACCGTCCAGAACCTGCGACTTAGCCCAAGCAGTGGCGCCTGCCTGTGGTCCCAGCTGCTTGGGAGGCTGGGACGGCCTGAGCCCAGGGCTGTAGCTGAGGCTGCAGTAAGCTAGGATTGCGCAGGGGCACTCCAGCTGGGGCCACAGAGCAGGCCCCTGTGTGAAAAAAGAGCCTGCTGCCCACCTCACCATTCCAACTGGGAATATTTTACCAGACAGCATGCAGGCATGGAGAAGCCACCATCCCACACAGATGGGGGCAGATGGAAAATGGGCTCTGGACAGTTCCAAGCCCTTAGCCTGCCCACCCCTGCCAGGAGGCTCCAGTTGCTCTGGCGTTTCAGCCTCTTCTCCTGCAGCCTCGGCCAGTGCTTAGGCCACACCTGGAGACAGCTGGACGGTCGTCAGCCTCACCGAGAGGCCACCAGCTGAGGACCCAGGTGCGAAGACTGCCACCTGCTCTGACTGCAGGCCTGTCGGCCGGGGCTGCGTCCATAATCCGGCTCGATGGCGTTATTATCATATTATAACCTCCTCCTCACATGATTCTAATAACTTCTTTTCCCACTTGTCCTTTGACCAGGCTGGGCTCCTCCCAGCGGAAAACAGCGGGTGTCCTGTATGCAGCAGAAACGCACCCCGGGATCCCTCCTCGCAGCAGCCAGGCCGGGGCTGGCTGGGTCTTTTCTCTTCTCTTCTGCACACAGGCCCCTGGCCGCTGTTTCTGCAGAGACCAAGGTGGGAGGGAGAAAGACCCTCCAGCCCTCTGCCCCTCCCTCCCCGCAGTCTCCCGGGCCCTGTGCTGCCGGCAAGATAATTTGGCTAATGAACTCGTTAAAGGGCCCCTGGTGACCCGCCCCGCCCCGGCGTCCCCTCGGCCCATCTGGGAAATTCCACTGAAAGGCTGGAGAGCGCTCCTCTGTCCCGCCGCCGTCTGTCGCTGCTGGAGGCGCGAACCCTGTGACTCTGGGCCCTTTACATTAAAATAATTACCCGGCGGAACAGGTGGCTCACTCCCGGAGCCTGGGCGCATCTGGGCCCCGGAGTCGCAGCCGAGGAGGAGGGGAGCGGCATGCCCCACGGAGGCAAGGTCAGGCCCACGGGCCGGGAGAACCGGGGGAGCCGGAGGGTAGAGAGGGGCTTTCCTAGGGATGGACGGTCCCAGGACACCCAGGCCTCTGCGGCCTAGTGGGCCCAGGCCTGAGCAGGGAGGCCGCCGCTCCTAGGCGCAGGTAAGCGCAGCGCGCGCACCATTTGGGATGCACCCGGTTACTTGCTCTGCCACCAAGCTTGGGGCACGCGGGTACCTGAGGGGTACCTGAGCAGAACCCCTAACTCTCCCGGGCTCCGAGGTTGAAGCAACTCCTAACATTGGGCTCCGAGCCAGGAGCTTGCTGGATGGGCGCCTGCCGCGCTGGTCCTCGGGACTCACAGTCGCCGCCACAGACGGCGGCGAGCGCGTGAGGAGTGTGTGCCCTGTGTGCGCGCGTGCCAGAACGCACGTGTAGGGTGGCTTCCTGTCCTGCCTTCCCGCCTGAGAAGCGTCCACGCGGAGTTCCAGGCCGGACGCTGGGGAAGGAGGTCCCGGGGAAGCTACTAAAAAGAGAGCGGCCAGCCCAGGCGCGGGGCCAAGCCTATTGCCAAAAACATATTACCCTGCGACATTCTGTAAATGAGATAATGATCCATAAACCCGGATGATAGATGTGGCCTGCCTGCGATGTCTTCTCTAAATGAGCTGTTCGCATCGACTGCTAATAATGGTGAGTTTATGGAAGCGATTTCAGCGCAAACTGCGAGAGGGTCTTCTTACTCTAATCAGCCTGCCTGAGCTAATGGACGAGGGGGTCAGGCTGAGAGTTATTGACACGCCCGTGCCCTTAACCTGTTTCCCAATAAAGCTGATTAGTTTTTGTCAATTCATCAGCTAACCACTCTTGCTGGAACTGCATCAAAGCCTTATTTGCTCAGGGGAAATCAACAAGTCACAGATCAGCTCCATTAAGGGGCCCGGCCTGGCTGGGACAGTCCTGGAGCCCCGGGACGCCCCAACGGACCTCTGGCCTCGCCCGAGCTTCCCAGAGCGGCTGAGAGCGTGGCCCCCCTTAACTCAGAGCACCATGACCCGGAAGAACATTAACTGTGTCTGGAAACTTCTCTTTCTCTGCAGGCCGGGCAGCGCCAGTGCGGCTCAGCGCTATGGCTCCAGGGCTCCGGGCCCTGGCGTCTGGGCTCGGCCGGGGACAGTTACCACGCGAGGCAGAGCCTAGCTGGAGGTCGCAGGGCGGTGGAGAACGAGGGCATGAGGGAGGGTGCTGGGAACCGCGCAGTGTCGGTGGCCACGCATCCCTCCGACGCGACCCCAGGGGAAGAGTGCAGGACCCTGGGACCCCGCTGGGGCTGCACGGGCCTGAGCTTGGGGGTCGTGCAGAAGGGCAGCAAACCCGCCCTAGCGCAGACCCCTACTTTGCCCGGTGACTTCTCAAGCTCGTTGGAGGGAGCTGAGGGCGCCCGAGTGCACCTGGGCTGAGGTTTTAGTAGCTGGCTCCACCTGCGTCTCAGGTGAGCCGCTGCAGGAAGGGCCCTTCCAGGCATCCCTGGGCTCCCGCTAGCAGGAGCTGAGGCCCTCCGGAGCCGGAGCCGCGGAGGTGACCCCTACGCCCTGGCTCATGGGCGGCAAAGGAAAATGTGCGCTGTCCCTTTAAGCCCCCGGCCACCGCCACCTCCCTGCCCCATCCCCCTTCAATTTAATTTCATTAAAACAGAGCATGAATATTTCTATTAAACCTAAAATGAAATATGAAGCCATTTAGACTCTGCCTGCACCAATCACCCAGATTTATGACTTTTATTCATCACATCAAGAGCTTGGAAAAATGAATTTTCTTCACCCAGGAAGGAAATAAAACCTCAGGCTTGGTCATTTCCAGAAAGCTGTTAATTTGACCATGTGGTAATTACTTTCACAATTAACTAAAATACAAATCAACTTGACAAATTGGGCTAGTTTATATATTAATTAGCCCCCTTAAATTTATTCATTATGAAAAGACAATTTAAGGGGACCTGTGGTGTCTGTTTTATTGCAATAAATTATTGTTAGGAAATGGGTCTAATAAAATATCTTAATATTTAAGGATATTGTATACGTGGGGGGTATGCTTTATTGACAATTTCATTTTCCAATTAGTAATTTTGTTGTAATATATCTGCGAACCGGGGACTCCCGGGCGGGGAGGCAGGATTCTCCCGGCTGGGGCGGTCTGAGTGGCTGGGTCTGAGGCGCGGGCTGAGAAGAGTAAATTCTGCGGAAAGGGCCGCGTCCGATCGGAGCAAACGTTCGGTTCCTAGCAGGAGCCATTCCAGGCGGCCACCGAACCCCGGCCCAGGACTCGGCACTCCCGGAGCCCTCCTCCCCACGCAGGCCGCGGGGGCTGATTTAATAGAATGTCGATAGAATCATTCGATGCCTTTTAGCTTGTGATCTTTATAAATGTCCCTCTATTAAATTAGAAAATGATTCTCTTCTCGTTTAATTGTATTCTTTCGTTTCTTATTTCCAATTAATTAGTCCTATCGACGTTGCAATATTTTAAGTGACTTGAGTCCGTTTCCAGTTAGAATATATGGGTCAGCACATGCAATTTTATACCCGACAGAACTACATAATGTGGGTTTTAACTACTCGTTTCTCATCTGTCTTAAACATCTGGCCAGGATGCACCACCCGGCCTCCTCGCGGCTCCTTCCCGGGGCGGGCGGGCACCTCGCTGGACCCTCCCGGGGGCTCCGGCAGGCGCCTCTCGCTGTCCAGGGCCAAGGTTCGGGCGGCCCGCAGTGTCCGGCCTGGGCCTTTACTTGGAATTCTCTCTGTTTCGACTTGGTCCCAGCCCCTGGCTCCGGGAGAAGAAGGCCCCGCGGAGGGGCCCAGCGCCGCGTCCCAGCCCTAGCACGTCGCTTCCACCCCTTCCCTTCTTGCTGCCCTACGAGACTTTAAAATCACTTTTTAAGAGACAGGGTCTCCTCTCCACCTCTTCGCCAGCGCGCGAGCAGCCCCTCGCCGAGGGGCGCACCTTTGCTTTTGGGGGCTGCGCTCAGCCCCCCACCCTACAGCGTCCCTCCCGTTGGCCCGAGTTCGGCTTAAACGGGAGGGGGCTCCACCTTCCCTTAATTAATTGACGAAGTCACGTATCCCTCCCGGGAGGATTTGTGGGGCTGCGCGTTGTGTCGGCGCCCGCGCCCCGAGTTGCCGCGACCAGCCGGTGCCGGCCCCTCTCTCCCCCCCAGCCCCGAGTTCGACCCGCGGGAAGAGGGATGCGGGGAGCGGACCGGGCCGCCCGTTCCTGCCGCGGCTGAACGCGGTGTCCCTGGCTCCGCGTGGCGCTCGTCAGCCCGGGGTCCCCGGCGATGTCCCGTGACTCAGCCGAGCGTGGGGGCGTCAGCGTCCGGCCCGCTCGCCCGCTCCCTCGGGGCTGCCTCGCCCCGCGTTTTCCTGGCGGGGGATGGCGGCTCCCCCTGTCCGCATCCCTGCCGGGCCCTGCCACCCCAGCTCCGGCCTTGTCCTCCGGGTTTCCTCCTGCCCGGGAGTGGGGAGCCCCTCGGCCTCGCCCTCCCCGCAAGGGGAAGGAAGCAGGAGCCCTGCGAACCGCGTGTGTTTCTAAGCAGCTGCTCCTTCGAGGCGCGAGGCTCCCAGAGTGAAAAGGGCTCCCCCGAACAGTAAGCGCGCTATCACCTTGGGGTCCTTCCCAGAGCCACGAGACCCCCCCACCCCGTTTCACCAACACCTGCGTCCTAAAAGGTGGGAAGGAGAGATTCACTGGGAATGTGAACCTGCCCCCGGGCCCTCCTGGGGCAGCCTCCCGTGGCCAGGTCAGGAGCGGGGAGCCCTTCCCTTCGACCCCCCGGAAGGTTCCTTCCTGGTCCTCAGCTTTGTTCTTTGCAGGCAGGGCTGGGGCTGGCTGCCTTGTGAAGAATTTGAGCGTTTTAAATCTGGACCTAGAGGCCAGGTCGGAAAGGGTAGCGAAGCTGTGCCTTGCCGGGGTCCTGTGGCCCGACCGGGGCCTGAGTCCTGACTCGCACCCAGCGCCATTCAGAAATTGTCCCTCGGGGAGAATGCCTGCTGTTGCACAATGGCATTTTTTTGAGGGGAGAGGAGGATTTCGGGTCAAGTGAAGCTGGCAGCCATTCCTTCGGGGCCTCTGGCTAAGATGGGAGGGGAGGGGGAGAAGGCCGGAGACTCCTCGGAAATCTCCAGCACTGCCGTTCCCAGCAGGCTCTCAGCAGCTCCCTGCAGGCTCCCGAGTCCATCCGCGAGGGAAAGCCAACATTTGCTCATCATCTTCTCTTTCTGCATGTTAGCTAGGGTTGACTACAGACAGGTTAAAGGGGAGAGTCCTTGGCAGTTAAATAGCACCAGACTGAAAGCGGCGGAAATCTGCCCAGCCTCCCCCCAGCAGCCCCTGGTTCACCCTGGGAAAGTGATGGGCTTTCTTTCCACCTCCCAGCTCCATCTGAACGTGATCAGAGCCAGGGCCTAAGAGGCCAGCCAAAGGGTGACCAGCCGGACTTGCGGGTGTGAGCACTTGCTGAGGCCACACCTGCTGGGCTTGGGAGGCGGCCCCTCCCCCTGGTGTGAGTGACACTGGCCCGCACTTTTCTAATCTCAGGGCTCCAATGAGGCTATTTAACGAGGTCCAGTTCAGCAAGTGCTTTGTGTGAGGAGGGGCACTGGAGCCTGGGGGTTCGAGATCAGTATCCCACTTGATACTGAAGGATAAGGAGGCAGCTTAAAACGCCCTTTCGGTGCTCCTTGGGGGAGGAAAGTGTGCACATGTGAAAACCCA